TTCCCACCTGGAATTTGGGGTGTTTGGTACACTGGGATTTTCCCTGCTTGCACTGCTGGAGTTTTGGGTGTTTGGCACACTGGGATTTTCCCTGCTTTCCCTCTTTGCTCCATTCTCCACCCAAGGAGAGCCCCAGGGACACCGATCCTGCCTGGAATCTTTGGGATCCAAAGGCACAGGAGGTGCTGGCACACCCCTGGCCCCCAGAGCAGCCGGCTGGAGCCACTTACTCCGAGAATCCTTTCCACTTGAGCAGATATTCCACCTTTCCCTTCACCACCCGCCGATCCAGGACCTTCTCCACCACATACTCCTCCTCCTCTTCCTCTAGGACCTCTTCCACTTTCTTCTTGTTCTGTTTTTTTCCCATTGTGCTGGCCAGCTTTTCAGCTTTCGGGCGACGCTGCTGCGAGGGGAGGGAGCCAAGGTCAGCCCTGCCTGTGCCCCCCGGGAATTCTCTGGGATGCACAAGGGGCAGGGAATGCTGCCTGGGAGAGAACAGGCAGGGAAAACACAGAGGGACGGGTCAGGATGGTGCTGCCAGGCCAACAGGAATCAAAATCCCGGGATTCTGACGCAAAGCTTTGGGGTTTTTTTTGCCTCTCCAGCTCCTCATTCCACCAATTCCACGAGCGCTTTTCCCACGGGAGCTGTTCCACACCTTGTCCCTCCTCAACCTGCTCCCTTCTCTTTCCTCACCCCACACAGCCCAAAGGGTTGAACTGAGTGATTTTTATATTAACTGGAAATGAATAAATCCTTAATCCAGGTCAAATCCAAGCCCCAGCCCCTGATCCCAACATCCTCACGCTCCTTCCTTTCCTGGATCGTGGATGGGCACTCTGGGATATTTATCCAGCTCATCACCCCACAGCAGGGGGGGTTTTATTTCCCCTCCTTATCTTCCAGAGCTGTTCAGTCAATCCAAAAATCCCTGGATATCCATCCAGGGCTGGCTGGGAAGGGAGAACTCCGGATTCAGAGCTGGATGGCACCCACAGGGAAGCGTGTCCAGGTGGCCCTGGCACTGGATGGGCTTTAAGGTCCTTTCCAACCCAAACCATTCCATGATCCCAAAATTCCATTATTCCATCCAGTCCCCCAGAATGAAGGGGGTTTTTTGCCTCATTCAATAAAGGACAACAAAAAAAAAACCCCCAAGCACCTGGAAAGATCCCACCAAAACTGAGCCAGAGCCTGGGAGGCTTTTCCCTCCATTCCCGGGTGGAAATACTCCCAATGGCACCTCCAATCCCATTCCAGAGGGAAGCAAACCTGGAGCAGCGAGGCTCCTGGAGGTCTGGAGACTGGGAAGAGGAGGAGGAGGAGGAGGAGGAGGAGGCAGGGCTGGCACAGCCACAGCCACAGCCGGGTGTGCAGCACAACAATGGAAAAGCCTCCGACCCTCCGGCATCTAATCCCGGCCCAGGAGCAGCAGGAAGCCCCAGGATCGTGTTTCACTCTGGAATTCCTCAGCCAGCTCCTTCCTCTCCCCTCCATCCTCCTCCTCTGGCACCACATGGCTGCTGGAGAAGCTGCTGGAGAAGGGGCTCAGAGCCCAGCACGCCAGGGAAGAGGAGATTCCAAGGTGATTCCCAACGAGGCTCCGAAGAGAAACCCCGGGAGCGCCCGGAGGGGCGAGATCCCGGGATTGCTGCTCTCAGCAGAGGAATTCTCCTCAGCTGCAGCCAGAAGGGCTCCAGGGAAAGCTCTGTGGGCACTGCCTGGAGGTGGAGGAGCTGCTCAGGCACCTGAGGGGGCTCAGCTGGATCCGGGGAGGATTCCAGAGGCAGCAGCTGGATCCAAGACTAATGGGAGAGCCAAGGGGAGCTCAGGGAGGAGCTGCTGAAATTCCAGGGAAACAGAGAAGGAGCAACACCCCAGATCCATCATTTTCTGGAGCAGCTGGGCAGGGAAGATGCAAATCCAAGGCTGGGAGCACTTTGGGAAGGAGCTTCCCCCAGAAGGGCTGCAGGAATCTCCCCAAACCTCCCGGATATTTGGGGGTTGTCCCTTCCAGCTCCCTGGGCATCCAATCCCAATCCTGGCTGGAGATCCAGGAGGATGAGGCCACATTCCCAGAGCCAGCAGGGAGCAGAGCTCCTGCACAGGCCTCTCCCTGCACTGCAGGAAAAAGGGAGAGAGGAGCTCCAAACCCTCCCTGGATTTATCCACAGAGCATCCAAGCTGCTCCACACCGGGAATAATCCCATGGAATCCTCGGCCACCAACACCCAAACCCTGCAATTCTGGGTGTTGAAACAAGGCCTGATCCCTCCCTGGATATCTGGGAAGGCAGCACAGGGGGAATCCCTCCCTCCTCTCCAGGGATTCCAAACACACCTCTCGCTCCCACTGGGATGGGAAACGGAGCTGCTTCCTTTGGGGGCATTTTTGGGAAGCACAGACGTTCCTGTTCCCTTCATCCCAACAGCCCCGTGGCTGCCCCAGCCCTGGAAGTTTTCCAAGGAGGTTTTGGAGCAAACCTGAGCTAATGGAAGGAGTCCCTGCCCACGGCAGGGGTTGGAACTGGGTGAGATTTAAGGTCCCTTCCGACACAAACCATTCCATGATCCCACAGAATTTGGGGCCCTCCTGCCTGACAAATCAGTGGGATGTTCCCTAAAATTCAGCTTCAATTGTTTTTATACTCCACACCCTGAGCCCAACCCTGCTCCAGAGGCAGCTCCTCATCCGCCCCTTCCTCGGCCCTGTCCTTATCCAGAGGCACAAATCCAGCATTCCCACAGGTCCTGCTCTATCCCAAGGGCTTCACAACCCCC